TAGAGTTCCCGCCGAGGAAATGGAGATTTGCATGATACGATTGGCCGATGTTAAATTATTCCCATGTGGTGGCTGGCAATTGGCTCGCTAGCCATATAAAAGGTTAGGGGTGTTTCCACCCTAGTTGGAGAACGGACTGGACCTCCGGCAGCTTGATCCCCTGCCAACAACTCCCCGTCGGCGAAGCGTTGCGACGTATCCTCCGTCTTGCATGCCTGAGTTAGACCCGAGCTACCCGGTCTACAAGAGCTCCCCGATTAGCGATTAGAGAATAGAATTGTTGCAACTATGATTGACTGCGCTGTATATGACTCTACAGTGTAAGTAAAGCTATCTCTGTTTTTCCAATTGATACGTGTCTCGTCTGTGCCTAATTCCGCTCCTGTGATAGAGAGTACCAATCTGCCTGTCACGGGATCGCAGCCACAACCCCAGCTAGCGTTCCCGAGGACTCCTGATCCTCGATCCCCCCTCGGCCCCCACAGCTTGAATGAATGAACTGTATGGTGCATAGAAAACTGCTGGATTTTTGGGCTCAGAGGGTATTAATCAATGGCTCAATGTCTAGTTGGCAGCTGGTATCAAGTGGAGTGCCCCAGGGGTTAGTCCCAGGGCAGTTTTGTTCAATAACCTCGAATAACATCAATGAGCTGGAAGATGGCAGAGTGCACCCTCGGCAAGTTTGCAGATGACCCCAAATAGGGGGAGTAGTAGATACACTGGGGACTAGAGCAAGGATTCACAGTGACCTAGACACATTGGAGGATTGGATCAAAAGAAATCTCATGAGGTTCAGCAAGGATAAGTCCAAAGTCATAGACTTTGTATGGAACAATCCTATGCACTGGAACAGGCTGGTGCTGACTGGCTGGGCAGCAGCTCTGCAGAAAAGGACCTGGGGGTTACAGTGAACAATGAGCTGAATATGAGCTAACTGTGTGTCCTTGTTGCCAAGAAGGCTAATGGCATAATGGACTGCATCAGTAGGAGTGAGGTCAGCAGGTCAAGGGAATTGATTATTCCCCTCTATTCAGCACTGGTGAGGCCACATCTGAAGCACTGTGTTCAGTTTTGGGCTCCCACTACAGAAAGGATGTGGCCAAATTAGAGAGTCCAGCAAAAGGCAACAAAAATGGTTCAGGGGCTGGGGCACATGACTTCTGAGGAGATGCTTAGGGATCTTGGTTTATTTAGCCTAGAGAAGAGAAGACTGAAAGGGGATTAAATAGCAGCCTTCAACAACCTGAAGGCTGGTTCCAAAGAGGATGGAGCTAGACTGTTCTCCATGGTGACAGATGACAGAACAAGGAGCAGAGGTCTCAAGTTGCAGCAAGGGAAGTGTGGTTAAATATTAGGAAGAATTTTCTCACTAGGAATGTAGTAAAACACTGGAACAGGCTACCCAGAGAGGTTGTAGACTCTCCATAGATTCATAGATGTTAGGGTCGGAAGGGACCTCAATAGATCATTGAGTCTGACCCCCTGCATAGGCAGGAAAGA